TGTACCACAAATTACATTTCTGTTCTTGTTCTGTATCAGAAGCTGGTACAGCCACAGCAGCGATTTACTTTAAGAACACTGTTAGTCAAGGAAAAACAGCTTCTTCCAATGGGTAATATAGTGTCATTTTTCACTGTACGAGTACTGCCAGAAAGACTGTACATTTCACCTTTATATGAAGGTGTTTCAGTCTGGAAGTGGGGGAGGGGACTCAAAGGGAACAAGAAATTGGTTTGTCTTTGCGTTGTACATTTAGCGAGAATTTTTACTACTTTAGTTGTTTTCATTTATATAAATAAAGCTTCTCCTTTTTTATCTAAATCTTACTTCTCCCTAAGGCCCATCTGCAAATGCAGTGACACTTCAGCAAAGGGTAACTGAAGCTGCAGCACATTTACAGCAAAATGCCATTTTTAAAGGGTGTAGTGAAACATACTGCAGAGGCAGAATTTTTAAATTCACTACATGGAAACTGATTCCCTGTAGGAATGAGAGACCTGAGGATTTAGGACTATATCATACCGGCTGCCACTTCTTCAACCCTCTAGGCAATAGCTTTCCACAGTAAACTTTGGTTTCATGTGACCATAAAACCCCTGGTATTCAACAAGAGAACATCCTGAGCAGCTCAGAGAAAAGGATAATAAATGGAATGCACCAAAAAATCACAACAGGAACATTTCTTGTTCCATAGCAAGATCAACTGCTACCAAATCTTCTCCAGAGAACATATGCTAGCCTGAGCCTCGCTTTAGCTCTCCCCAACCTTTCTTCTCAAACCCCAAGGCAATGAGATAATGAAATGTAGTTGCAGAGAAGTCATCTTGCAGAGAAGAAATAGCTTTCAGAATTTTAACAGGCTTTTTATGTTTTATATTTTCATTTTTCTGTTTTCATAGAACATTATCTTTTTACAAAAGCAATCTTTGATACCTGCTTTAACCATTCAGTATATTAGTCTAGAGTCAGCTAATTATTTTCTCACTGGCCACAAAAGTCAGGAGTGATTAGCAAAAACAAGATACCAGCAATAAAATCATGCTCATTAAAAAACAACAGGCTCATTAACTGAAATGCTTCAGTTCAGCCAAACTTTTTTTCTGTTGCCTCTGCTCACTCATGGAGTCTTTGGAATATAGGTCATTTTTTGCAGTTATAGATCTGTAGCAACATTAGATACTCCAATTAATCAGGTAAAAAAATGACAGGTATTCTGATTTTCTAAGGGGGGTATTGTGGGTTTTTTTCCTACTAAATGAAAGTGCATATATGATGAATTTCATTTATTCAGGAAGAATTTTTAAAGTCTTAGAAGTCTTTAAATATTATATATATAAAAAAGGCAGCAGAAACCTTTAAACTTCAAAGGTTAATGGCCAGAAGGAATAATTCTTTCTTACCATCAACAATGTTTTTGTTCATTTTTAAAATGAAGTTTGGACAATAAGGAGGTCAGTAGATACATAATACTTCATTTACAGTAGAATAATAGCCTGTACATTACTAATGGTTGACTTCCTTAAACCAAAACTGGAAAGAAATCTGCATAAAAAACTTTAAACACTCTTTGACAGCTCTGGTGTGGTCGGAGGGGCAAACTGGTTCCCTTGGTTTTGGGAAATACAGTTGTTTTCAGTGAAGGAGTATCTGAGATGAGGAAGTTAGTGGGCCAATAACACCTGTACCCAGAGGAGCAGATAAAAGTCATCAGAAGATAAGAGGAAGGAAAGAGGCAACCTCTCAGACCTGCATTTGGTCCCATTCACAATTCAACACGATGCCAACATGCGATAATACTCTCTGTGCCTATGCTGCTGATCAGGCCGTGAGCCTGGATCTGGTCTATGATCTAATGGCCTGACTGTCCATTCACACTCAAAATTCACTTTAATAAATGGTCTGACCTGAAGTAATCCCTACAGAGTACAAATCAGACTCTGCTCTGTGATAGCTTTGTGGAAAAAAATTGATGCTTCATCACTGGCAACATCTCCAGTCACCAGTGTTCTCTGTTGGTGACTGTCAGAGCAAAGCGTTTGCTGGAGTTCGTATTATTCCATAAGGTCTCAGGTTTTAGTTACTGCTTCTCAACTAAAACATGGTATCTGACCCAGAGCATTTTTTAAGTCCATGTTGTTTACTTTGCATTAAAAAATAGGCTATTTGCACTAATGGAATCACTGACCATGTCTCAACTGAGAAGGTGTTTTGTGAATCCACCTCTTAACTGTAGCCAAAGATGTGAGTGCTCTTTTAGTTTCAGTGCAAAGTGTGGTGTTACTGACAGCAAATATATTGTATTATAAAAGTTTTGGAAATAGTAAACAAAAAACGTAGCATCAGTACACCATTCCATACAGGTAGCTAATATGTCACCATATTGCTCAAAAATTCATTTGGAGCTTGGACTCTTAATACATGAATATAAAAAGAAAAATCCAAACAATGTTTTCCATGCTTGTGCTATGCAACAATATCACTATCATGGATTTGGAATTCTATATTATCCATAGACACATTAATCAAGACACAGAAGAGGAACAGAGGCAAAAAGAAAGTTTCACTGGGGACTCTTGTAATTTTAAGCTCATCATAACCAAATTATATGAATAAACTATTTAAGGAGAAACTGGTGAAGCTGAACTTTAGTAAGTTATCTGTAGCAACTGAGCCCAAAGCAATCATAATATGGACCTTTTACTGAACTCTTGTTCTACTCTAGAAGGCTTATTTATGAAATCTTTGCTCAAGAGGAAAATTTTGGTATCACTCTAAAAACTTGCTTTAATAAAAGAAAATCTTTTAAAAGTCTTAATGGAGATGAAGTTTTTTTTCAGTTCCTTTTTATATTTAAGGTCATCACTCCATTAATCAAGTAGCTGACTACATTTAAGGCAATGTAGTTAGCCTTCATTGAAATGTATGAGTAACACAATTTTGTTTTTTAATATTCTGATGTATTTTAATTTGCATAGAAAGTCCTAAACTCTTGTTTAGGTCATTCTGTTAAAAAGTTGAACAAAATCCTTCAAAGCTTCGAGTCAATTGCAACAGAGACACTGCTTTCAAAAAGATAGGAATCCATCACTGCTTTCTGGCAGTGACCTGACACTTGAAAGCCCAGTCTCTCCTTCCAGAATGGAATACAAGAAAAAAAGAAAAATTAACTGAGGTTGGATTCACTCTACAGGTACATCAGGAATCAGATTGAACTCGAGAATATTTCTGCTTGACTTATTAGAAAATAAATGAGAAAGTTGCATGTAACATGAAAAATGTAGTAAAAATATGTTCTTCTTGGCTATGAGCAATGAATATTTTTGCCCCTGCTCACCATAGATAATATGTCCCACATTGGCTCACAGCTTATCCCCTTATACCTGGGAGTTCAGCAAGTTTCACATTTATATTCCATATAGATGAATTTTATTGACCACGCTGAGTCATGAGTTCTCATTTCAATACTTGGTTGCTGAGCTGGGTAGCAAAAGTCTAACACAAGACCTGAGCAAAAAAAATATGTTTTGAAATGTTAATTTCTTTAACAGGCACTTAAAAATTTTGTATGGATCACAACAGAAAAATTACGTACCTCTTAAAAAATAGATACAGCTGGATTTTTAAATTTATGGGGTAAGGACCTCAAATGTTTCAGATCCTTAGCAGTAGTTCAGGACTGGCTAGTTCACCTTATTACTGTGTTACCTATTTATAAATGAAATAAAATAGCCCCCCTTTAGACCTAGGAAAAAGGATCTATTTTAATATACCAATCAATTAGGTTTGTTTTGATAGCAACAGCAAGTATAGTGCTTCATCATAAATTTGAATCTTCCTTTCCCTTTCCCACTGGCTTCAAGTCACTTCCAATCTTTTCAATCTCTGTGTTTTATGCATCTTAAAAAGTGTTGTCTTTTTCCCTAGCATCAGAAGGCTTGACCCTTACTTTTATATTTTACAAACATGAATATTCTACACACACCTGCAATAAAAAAATGCTGATCATCAATAAAATAAAACAATATGGAAAACAACTAACATTTGCCACGCTGATTTCTGGATAGCTTCTATATTTCGTTACAAAGGCATAGACAGAATATTCTATAACTTCAGCGGGGTTTGTGGAGATTTTGAACCTTCCTCATGAACATGTGTATGTCAGATATATTTTATGACTATCATAACAGGGGTAATGTTGCACTATGATGTGATATAAGATAGATGATATACGGTGATTTCTGTATTTCCATTTTAATCACTGTGTGTATGATCAGTTGAAGTCAGTGGAAGACAAAACCAGAAATCATTTGATGATCCACTTGCTGATTTAGGAGTGTTCAAGTTTGGGGTTCAATCGCTGGACCACAACTGTAGATAGCTTCCTGTTTTCTCCTTTGGAAGTCTTAACTTCCAGAAATAACCTTGTTTCTGGGGGAAAAAAAAAAAATCAGAAGCTTTGCAAAAACTGAACTAGCCTTACAGTTTTTAACTTCCTGAGCATATTTCATTCATGCAGAGTTGAAAGAGGACTCTGAAGATAATGCAAAGTTAAACTATTTGGCAAAGCTCTTTTGCTTAATGTAGTAGCTTCATTTCTACACCTTATTTTTCTTCCAGTATTTTCTTTCTTTTGGTCTCAAATGGAAGTAAAGAATCAAATGTATTTCTATTATCTTTTCATGATTCAACTCATCTCATTAACATACCAACTGCATTAAATGTTATTCACATAGGTGCTTTAACTTCTCTGCTGAAAGTGAAGGAGTAAGGTGTTTTTCATCCTGTGATAGACAGGTTGCCTGTGTAGAGATGTAGAAGGTTAGTTTTTCCGCAAGTTTTTGTGGGAGAATAAAGAAATGGATCATAACACCATCCTCATTTTATTTTTCTAAAGCTTTCAGCTAGAACCCTCGAGAATTTTGACAGCCATTAGCAACAACATCACTCTGTTCTTTCAAGTTTAGATATTTACAAAACATGTTTTTCTCTTCTGTTTTTAGCACAAGAAGAATGGGCCACAACCCGTTCCAGCCTAAAGGCACCACCTCCAAGGTCAGCCAGAGGGGGTTACAGGGAACACCCCTATGGTAGATATTGAAGGTCCATCTCATCTGTGACCTCATCTCAAAGACAATTAATAGCCTGTGGTCTCCACATAAACAGCAACAAGACAAGTAATAGTCCATTTCTTTTCTATCCTAGGGATTACTGCTCATTATTATCCTATGTACTACTTGTATTTCCTATAACATTGGAGTGACATTGGCATTAGTATTATTTTATAACACGGACTTAAAAAAAAAAAACAGAAACAAAAAACCTTTGACAAGCATTGTCTATAAAACATTCAGAGATGATGTTCTGTTGGTTGTATTCATTGCTGTGTGTAACTTAACTTAAAAAGCATGACACTGTTACAGATCTTGAGTCTCTCTACATACTAGCTAAGGCTGAGTTTTTGTTTAGGGTTGCTGAAAGACTGTAATATGATTCTTTTTTTTCCTTTTTTTTTTTTTTGAACCAGACAATAATCAAGCTGTAGATAAGATGTTTTAACCTGTCTTTTTTAATATATGTTAGTTTAGATTAAGATGTTCGATATTAAGTTTGTAAATTTAATTTTAAATGCTGTTTTAATGGGGTTGAAAACAAGCAGCTACTGTATGTATGTAGCTAACTGAATTTGTTCAGTGTTTTAACCTGTATTTGTTAAAAAAAAATCACATAAAGTTCCATGTGTAAGCTTCTCTAAATAGGAAACCATAATTTTGTCAAATATGTTTGCCATAATTTGTCAATAAAGCTGAAACCTTTTGTAACAAACTAAATTTGGAATTACTTGTTTTCTAGCTTTAAATGCCTGCTTTATTTCTTTTTTCAAGAGATGCCTAAAATGTTTTTTATATAAAAATTACAAAAATGAACCCAAGCCTGTTTTAAGATTTTTTGTGTAAGACTTTAAAAGTTGTATTAATAACTTCTGGTTGTTAAATAATTTAAAAGTTAACAAACTAAACTGTTACATGAATCATGGTTAGTATCCACTAATGTATAACATGTTAATGGAAAAAAATGCTTTAGAACAATAAATGGATTTTAAACTATCCTCTAAGCTTGATCTTGCTAAACACAAACTCTGATTGACTTGTTTGTATTAGCATGTCTCTCGTGAGAATGTAATGGAGTTTAAAGAGGTAAGATTACCACTTACCACTGTTAGACTGTCTAAATGCTAGTTCTTCAACCTTTGAGTTTCCCCGCACATTAAATATCCCATTCAACATGTAAGCATTGCATAGATTCACCTATTTGTTTTCACTCAGAAGAGTGCGTTGACTGCATTTTTCGTAGTATATAACGATTTGTCTTGATAAACAAATCATCAGTGTCACTGCCCAGTTGTTGGTACTCAACTTCAAAAACTTTATTTGTAATTTTCAGTGCTAAATATCACCGCCCTTGAAGGCAGTTTAGAGGGCTGATATTTCTTTTGAGACTATCAGACTTGATGGCTGATGATTATTAAGGAAATATGTCGCAGGACTCAAAGGATGACTAAACGTTAAACAGGTAACACTAATAGTAACTATGTAATTTTGAGTATGCAACAGTAATGTTAAATATTCTCAGTTATTAAGTTACTGATAGTTAAAAAAGTAAACCTACCAAAAGATAACAAATAGGTATATAGGCTATTAAAACAACTAATTAACATTAACTAGTGACAACAAAATTATTCTACAATATATAACCCTCAAGGTAATAAACAGAACTAAAATTAACAATAATAGTAATGCAACTCTTGCTAACAACAAATATATAACCTAAATTTTGATGAAAAAAAAAAAAAAAGAACAGAAGACTTGATGGTAGGGATGCCAAAACTGTTAATCCTTTAAATACAGTCTTTTTGTTTACAGTGGCTTTTTGTCAATGTGATTGGTTTACTTTTTTGATGAGAATAAAGTACAGGCCTATTTCTGTTCAGTTTGTGAACAAAATCTCTTGCAGCTGGAGTTGCATGCTAACTCTTTTTGAATAGTTTGTGAAGCATATGTTTTGTCATTTGAAGTGTTAAAGTGAATTCCGTAGGCTACATGATGGTTACATTGAGTTTATTCTGTCTCACTATTTCAGGGACTCACAGGCACTGGAGAGCTAAAGCAGCAGATCTGCTGAGAAGTGGTCAGGTAAGCTCTGCCGCATCTCAGGGGTTTTTCCTATTGCCTTTTTCACCTGTGCATTTGTTTTTACTAACACACAGAAACGTATTCAGATAGAGTTTTAAAATAAATAATTCTTTCCAGCAATGTTTCTCTGCGTAGCAGCATAGTGATTATGGTATAGTGGCAATCAAAACATTTGCTTTTATATGGTGTTCTACCCTTCATTTAAATAAAAGAAGCCTTGTCGTCTAGCCTTTTAATGGTAAATATTAGGATGGTATACTTCTTTATAATTGCTCCTGCTAAAAACAAGAGCTGGTGTTTGTTAAAAGCATGCCTACATTTTGGAAACAAACTAGTCACATGACATAGAAAAATGCAGTACTGGCTTACCTTTTCTTCTCAAAATATTTATCCTTCTTTCCTACGACAAAAGTGCCTATAAAAAGACAGGAGGTTTGTTACTTATTCTTTTGCTTGGTAGGTTTTTCTTTTTTATGCTTTGGAGTGGCAGAGACATTAATGATATTACCACGGAATGACATGGACCAAGGCATAACTTCCTATATTTCTCTGTTAAATACATTTAAACGTAAAGGTGTATCTTGGATAACCTTTTTATACAGACTTCAGATTACATATGAGATTTTTGATTGGAGACAAATGTCATTGCTGGAAACAATTCAGCTCAGATATGACTTTGTCCACTCAAAGCGTCAACCTAATCACAATACAAAAAGTACAAATTCTCTCTCTCTCTCATGACTGTTAAACTAGATAAGAGTTAATAGACAAAACTGATGATGTTGCGCACCGAATACACAATCCCAGACACATTTACTACTCTTTTCCTGTGATTGTGACCTGGCTGATTTAACATTTTCCAGCTATCGGTGTATTCAGCAGTTACTTACAAACCACAAGTTGTGTTGTATAACAAGATATAAAGGGCTTGATTTTCTTCTCCAAAGGGGTGCCTCAAGACTTGTATTATTATATTATAAATGTGTTTGATTTATGTGCTATAACGACTCTACAGGCCAAAGGGATATAACACAGCATTAAGATTTGTCTGCATATTACAGACACATCAGTGTGAGTGTACCGCTACAGTAAAAAGTTTCCATCTAACCCCCCTTGCATACAGTTATACAAATGTGCTTCAGTCAGTATATGTTATATCTATACAGACAGGAAAAACACACTCCACTGCTGTAAATACAGATTCTGTGTATAACTGTGTTTACAGATTATTATACATTATAGATTTTACTATATAAGTATTTCAGGAAATGCTCATATGCCTTACTGAAATAATTACACAAAACTGTGAGCAGGTCGTACCTCATTTAAGTAAGGTTCAGGGCAAAGTACATAAAAATAATTTCTCACTTGTGCATCAGATTTTTATGTGAGGGTAACTACTGTGAACTCCTTGAGGATGGACTCCAGCAAATACAGCTTTATAGCAGAGCAATGTCCTTCAATATTATTGTCTCAAAGTCCACTTTACAGCCATTATTTGTGTAGATTAATAAAAATGCAGAATATGTCAGTAAAATGATGCTTTGTGAAATATTCGTATACAAGAATTATTTAGAAAAACTAGGTTAATAAGTCAATGCAAGCAACTGTTTATGCAAACATTTGTTCTAACGATTTTCAGGAAATTATCATGAAAAATTACCCATGACTGCATGTGCTGTTCTGTGCTAACTCCAAAGTACATTTTACATCAGTTTCTGAAGAAGTCTTACAATTAATCAGCTATGCCTTAACAAAAAAAATCCACCTTCTTAATTTGTGAAAGAGTAACAAGAGAGAATGTTTATTCTAATTAACAGTCATCTTTAGGTCTTCCATGAAAGGCTGTGATGTATTCCACACATCCACCAATCGGTCAGGGCAGCCATAATCCTGAGGTCCTGAAAACTTACATGCGTCATCAGAAAACACAGAACTTCACCTGTGCTACAGGTAATTCCAAGACACTAGTCACCAACCAAACATTTTCTTTGGAGGAATTCACATACCAAGTAGTTTTGTTTGTAACAGGAAGAAAAACTAGTATAAAATATCAAAACAACGAGTAACGAACTCTGGAAAAGTGAATCAGAGTTAAAAAAGCAAAATTTCTGTTAAAAGATTTCTAAGAGGTTTGTTTTTTTTTTTTGTCTAGGTTGACCTCATCTATAGAAGAGTTTGAGCTTTAAAAAAAAGTAGTGCATTATAATTTGCAGTAATTTAATCAGGAAAATATATTACTTTACAGAACTGCACTAAAATATTCTCAACTGTACCTCTGCAGCATAAAGCTAAATATTAATTTCATTGTTTTCCTTTTAAAATGGGGCTGTCTGCTTTTGAAAAAATCTTTGCTTTCATGAGATAGTAGATAATGAAAAAAAAAGTGAAAACCCTTATTACCCTAAATAGGTAGGCTATTGCATTATAAATGCAAACAATGCACATTCCAAAAAGTTTCTGTTATGAGTAGAATTAATGAGCCAGTTTCAAAACTGATGATTTCTGGAAGAGGGTTATGCAACATTTGTGAGTCTGCATTGCTGACACAGTGATCGAATAGTGGAGCGGATGGCACAGTGATGGAATCTGTAGCTTCATATGTCATACTGACACACTTTCACTTGCTGGAAATTTAGTCTGAGAGGAGGGAGCAATTTTCATCTCCAGCTAGAAAGAGAGTAGGAAGAAAGCGTCAAGGGTCTGAGAGCATTGTCGCCTGCTGGAGCAGAACCTGCAGAGCTGCACCACCAGGGACAAGCTCCTGGAAAAGTAGCAGATGAGGAAAAATTGCACTATTGGACTGTTTTGTCTAGCAGACTTGTTGCATGTATTCAAGTGCCATTCTAACTGAAAAAATTAGATATCCCTAACGTAGCAACCTTTATCAGAAAATGAAGTAGCACCA